AAGTTCAACTCTAAGACCCCAAAACATTTGCTTGCAAAGTAAAAAATGTGGAGAGTTAAACAGCTGGACTGACAACCAGATAGTCAGATTTTTCCCCCCTGCTGAAATAAGCAAATGAACCAATTGTCCTGCTATCAATAACAATAAAAAAAGGTATCATGAAAGTTTGTTTCAAGATCAATATATAATGTACTTATGTTTACATAAACATACATGGTTAATTAGATGTAAAATTATCTCGTAATTACTTTTCCAAATAACTCTTTATCCACTGCATCTGAACTTCCCAGTTTGGACACCCAGTTTGGTGAATCCATTTATGCATTAGCAAATTTAAATATAATATTGGTGAAATTTCACTTAAGAGCAAAAGTAATGGGATCAAGATTACATTCAAAAATGAATAATAAAAGTTATGATTCCAAGTAGGATTTTTTTAAAGTGCCCTTGGAGAGGCCTAGGTTTTTCATAAAGGAGCAGAGATCTAACAGAAGTATTTTTAAATAAGCATACACATCAACTGAAACCATACATTTTTGTCTGCACAAACATGGTTTTACTTCATTGACCATGGACAATTATCAGCTAAAGAACCATGTATTTCCCCTCTCCTTTCACACCCCTCAGAAGAACAATAACCCTCAATTAATGACACAACAGTTTGGTTTGAAAAATGTGATGTTGTCATATACAGCACTGTGCATTTACTGAGTGACAGTGCTACCAGCTACTCAACAGAATATAATTACATCTGGAATCTAAAACCACTTCAATATGCACAAAAATACTGTAGACATAAGGAACTTTACACACAAAAATCTGATACATAATGAGAAAGCAAAGCAAGAAAAATGCTGTTATAAGTTGCTCACCAATGTGTTCCTTATTTCTGTTGAAGCTGGTACCTTTCTATATTTCTTCTTAGTTGAAAGCAAGGTCCAATTAGCCTCCTTAGAATATATTAATTGGTTCTGAATCTCCTCCAAGTTTTCATTCCACCATGGAGCCCTCCTCACCTATCTTCAACAGTTCATCTAAAATTCTTCCAACATCTTCCCTCATCCTCAAGATGGCTACCTCACCTAATGGAAAAGCAACATCTTCATGGTTGGCTTTTATAAATTCCTGAAGCATTTCAGGATTTAGTTCTTCGCTTGGGTCAATTATGTACATTCTCTAGAACTAATATGTGAAGAGCTCCCATCACTGCGTGGACAAGGGTAGGACTGGGTCCTTTTTTCAAATTATCCTCACAAAATGTCTTCCTACATGTTTAATAAATTCCTCCCAATTAAAAAGGTGAAGATACCTGGACATAAGGTTTTCTCAACTGACATTGTGTTTTTCAAATTTGTTTCCATAGTGACATTGTTAAGAAGACATACTGATATTTCTGAAGACTTAGAGTACTTCAGAACACAGAAAAAAATAGCCGAAGGAAAGGGAAAGGGGGAAACAAAGAAACTAAAAGAAGGCCTAACATACAAATGGAACGACCTGAAGAGAAATGGAGAACCTGGAGAAACTGGTGTTAGTCAGTCTTAAGAGTTCCTCTGAGATCTTGCAGGATTATTCTTATTATTTTTAATATTTGCAGAAATCAACCCAAATCAGACAATAAAGTCTTGCAGTGCATCAAAACATGATGATAACCAAGCCCTAGAACTCAAAAAAATCTCAGCTTAGGGCCATCACCATCTTCACAAGGAGGAAATCACATTTCCTGGTGACTTTCAGGAGACCTGGAGCAGTTTAAAGTTGTGTGAAGACCTCAGTGGAAATGTTTTAAGGTTTTTGCCTTGCCTTTCCTGAAGGAGGTCAAAACCCTTCAGGTCCACTCAAAAGGAGAAAAAAAATTCCAAAAGTTTACTTTAAAATGGAAACAAACGCCTCAATAACTTGTGAAAGCACTCCTTTGGTGGAGAAAAATCTGAGGAACCCTTAAAAGCCCTCATTTCCTTGCATAATGAATAGATAGTGAGGAACCACCACAAGGTTTCCCTCTGGAAAGACAGAAGGAGTAGGCAAGCAAGCCTCCTCCTCCTCCAGCCATCACCAACAGAGCTTCAAAATGGAGACATCCATAATTTTATAAACACTTCTCATCTCAGCTTTGTCTCCTGGAAACCCGCTCTCCTCCATTTTCTGGTGGAGTTACAACATGACACGGCTTACCTGACTCAGTTCCCAGCTCTTAACCAAACTAGTCACTTCCTCCAAAAACCTGCAAGCAACCTCCAGAAACAAAACCAAAGCAAACCAAACAGCCAACACAGACACTCAGACACAGCCCCCGGGAGCCCTGGGAGAAAGCCCCAACTGGTTGGTCTTTCCCCATCCCAGACGCGTGCTTAAAAATGAAACTTTTTTTTTTTTCTTGGTTGGGGAGGAATATAAAAGGAACTCCAGGCAGCCTCCCTCCCTCCCTCTCTGTAGGTTAGAAGCTACAATGAAAAGAAAATGAGGGTTCCTTCAGGAATGGTGAACAGCCTGGAGAATGAACGTGAGAAGGAGCTTTGTGTTTTGGAGTCTGGACTGGAACCAAAGCAGACAGCTTGCAAATGGAGGACAGGGAGATAAAGAAAGGGAAAGAGGGGCTGCTCCAATGGGGGGCGGCTGCGGCTTCCCCTCGTGCCTGGAAGGAGGGCAGACCCCTGGGAACTGCACCAGGAGTGAGACGCCCCCCCCCAGGCCCCTGCCTTCCTTTCTCCCTTCCTCAGGAGAGCCAAGCGTGTGTAATGGCTTCTCCTCTCCAGAAACCGTTGTCCTCCTCCACCAGACGCTTCTGAACCTCCAGCCTGGAGACAGCTCCTCAGCCGCTCCTGAACCTGCGCCCCCCACCCGGCCGGTGCCCCCCCGCTCCTCGCCTCTCTGTTCACCAGCAGCACCGGCACCAGCAGCTGCAGCAGCCACCCCCCGACACATCCCGACCCCGCATCCCAACTTCGGGGAGAGAGAGAGAGAGAGCAAGAGAGAGAGAGAGCGAGAGAGAGAGCCAAATACCTGAGGAAGAGGGGGGTGCCAATCCGCACGGCTTTGCCATCGGGCGGGGGACAGGCAGACAGAGGGGGGAAAGGAAGGAGAGGGACAGAGAAAGAAAGAGGTCAACCCGCTCAGGTCGGGGCCGCTCGCTCGGAGCTCTCCCTCCTCTGACCCTCGCTTGCTCCCTCTGGCTCTCGGCTCAGGTCTCCGGCCTCCCGCCCTCCGCCCCCCTCTCTGTCCCTACTCCTGTCCCCACACTCGGAGCATCCGTCCTAAGCCTCCAGCTCTCTTCTCACTCATCTTTCATTTTCTCTTCTCTTCATAGAACTACACGAAATTAATTAAGCCACCGCGCTCACTCCCCCCAGCAGAAGGAGCAGCCAGCAGGAAAAGCACAGCCACCTCTACTGCCACCACTACCACCTTCTCCTCCTCTTCCTCCTCCTCTTCCTCCCTCGCTTCTCCTCCTCCTCTTCCTCCTCCCCCTCCTGCTCTCCCTCCTCCCCCTCCTCCTCTTCTCTCTCGCCTCTTCTCCTCTTCCAACAGCCAGTCCATGCAGGGTACTTCCTCTCCTCCCCGCTCCTCCAACCCTCCTTGGCCGAATGAATGAGCGCGTTTGTGCCTCCACCACCCCGCGCTCTCTTCCCCGGAGCACTCGGACCACCCCGAGGTGGTTGTTAATTGCAGTAACTTACAGAAGAAGCGTCCCGGCGCCGGGAAGTGCTTCGGGTTCTCCAGCCCCACCGCCTCCTTATCCTCTTTCTCTTTCTCCTCTTCCTGCTCGGGTTATTGTTGTGGAAGTTGTTTGGGAGTCTCATGTGCTTCTGCCGGGTCTCAGCAATGGAGGATCGCCATCTTCCCTGCCTTCCTCGGCTCCTCAGACTCGCTGCAGCTGCAGATGACCTGAGATATCCGTCTCTCTCCCTCTCCCTCTCTCTCCCTCCCTCCCTCTCCCTCTCACTCTCTCTCTCCCCTCTCTCCTCTTCTCTCTCCTCTCCTCCCTCTCCCTCGCGCGCTCTCTCTCTCTCCCTCCCTCTGTGTCTCTCTCTGAATAATGAGCAACCAGGGGGAGAGAGAAAGCAAGACAGAAAGAGAGAAGGAAGACAATCTTCTCCTGCCACACAAAACGCCGGAGCACCAGGGGGTGCGCGAAGCCTTTCTAATAACAACAACAACGTGCAGGAGAGAGGAAGAAAAAAAAGAAAGAAAGAAAGAAATGAGGAAAAAGGCTAGGGGAAAAAAGAGGAAGAATTATCCAAGAGCTCGAGAAGAGCAGAAGGAGAAGCTGGAGGAGATGCTGAGGCTGCTGCTGCTGTCCCCCATCCCCCCTGCTGAACCCCAGAAGGAGGCAAGGTGGTTGCAAAGTTAAGGCTGGGACATTGTCTTTGTCACTCAGAGCCAGGCCAGTGAGATGCAAGAGGAGGAGGTGGCGGCGGCAGAGGAGGAGGAGGTGGTGGTGGAGGAGGGGGAGGAAGAGGAGGAGAAGGAGGCAAAGGAGAAGGAGAAGGGGAAGAGGGAGATGAGATGAATAAAGACCTGCGGAGAAGGCGGTGCGAGGAGCGCGGCCGCCGGGCCGAGGCGTGCGCGCTCGCGTCCCGGTGGCGACCGGCAGCCCTGGCCCGCAGAGGAAGCCCCCGGTGAGGACCCTGCCCGGCAGCTCATAGCGCTCCCACCGTCAGCTCTGCCCGAGGCGCCGAGCCCGGGCCCCAGAGGGTCCCTTACTTGCATCCATCTAGAGGCCAACCTTTGCAAAGAACATACATGGGGAACTGGAGGTTGCAAGTCTAAACCCAGATCAACCACGTGGGGCTTTTTAATCCCTTTCCAGCTTGCGGTGTGAGTATTTCCAGTGAAAAGCTCAAATTGTCCATTACTGGCACGTATTTTGAAGTCTTCTCTCCTGAAATAAAGGCTCATTGTGCGTTTTATTTCTTTTCTGATATGGAAGGTGGGGGGTGGAGGAGGAAAAGAGCCCATCATTCCTAGCTTCGGAACCACCACTTTCTTTTCCTAACTTGTGAAATGTTTTGACTGCGCACCAGAAGAAAAAAAGAAAGCCTGCTTAAATAACTTTACACCCTCCAGCCCCGCGTTGTTTGCACTTTCTGGCTGATCATCTAAAGGCTCGGAAAGTAACAATCAGCGCTCCTAATGATAAGGTGTCATGGTGTTGAAGACACGCGAGCCAAGATGAAGCTTTCACACCTTGAATTTTTATTTAGTGTAATTTCCTCCGTATCATTCTGAACTATTTCTTTTGCAAAGGAGTGGTTCCCCCTCCACCACCAGGTCGAAAGTCTCCTAAGGCTTTAATTGGACTGGGAGCGGTGGGGGGTGGGGGTGGGGGTTCTACAGTATCAAAAAAAAAAAAATCAATGCAGCAAGTCAGGAGCAATTGAAGTTCAAGGGCATGGGCTGATTGTACCATTTCTATTTCTCGGATCTTGGAGTTGGACATCAACAGCCTCAGGAGAGAGAAACGCGCAGCGCGCGGGGCAGAGACCTTAATTAAAGTTTCTTTTGTCCGCGTCTGAATTGGGGGATGTTGCTGGATTCCTTTGCATTGAGGAGCGCGCATCCGGTGAAGGCGCGGTGTTAAGGATCCTGGGCAAGACTGTCCTCTTTAAATACTCGCCCTTTCTCCTCCTTCCCCCCAAGCAACAGTCCGAGAAGATATACACCTATAAATCCATACAATAAAGGAGGAGGAGACGCGCGCGGAGTTGGTTCCCATCCGATAGCGGGGCTTCATAAACAGGTCTAAATCCTCATTTTCCAGGATTTTCCCGACCCTATATTCCTGAGCAGAATCTCTCACCCCGAGGCACGATTTCACCCACTTCCAGTCAACACTTCCTGCCCTTTTCTCCTCCCACTCACATTGAAAAGCTCGGGATCCCTAAAAGGGTGTTGATGGCGGGGGTGATAAATAAATAAATAAATGACACTCTACGCGTGCGGTGGAGAAGAAAGGAGGGGGAGGGAGAGGAAAGGCGAGGAGAGGGAAGAGAAGTAAAGAGAGGAGAACAAGGCGCAGAAAGGACAGAGGCGAAAGGGGAACGGGAGTCACCGAGAAGAGAAAGAAGAAAGGAGAGAGGAGGAGGACGCTGAAGCTGTTCCGGACTGAAATGATCCCGGCTTTGTGCGGCTTTCGGAGGACTCCCCCTTCCGAGTGCCCGGAGGGACCTAGGGAAGTCCTCCTGCCCCGAGCTCCTCCCCACCGAGACCCGGGGGGTGTCTGAGCACTGGCCGCCGCCACCCCATAAATTCCTCGTGGCAACCGGAGGAAGCGCGCCAGGTCTCCGCCGTCCCTCCACTGTCCCGGCTGATAATTTACCTCTTTGTCTTTAATAAAAAGCTGACTTTTTCTGTCAAGCTCTGCACCGGGAAAATAACAATCGTATTTCAGGTTGAAAGCTCCTATTACTGCTGGGTTTTGGAGGCTGCGATAAAATCTTCATCGACGTGAAGGTACCTTCTGGGTTGGCTTGGGTCGTAAGTCCTAAGATGGGGGCCGTCCTTCCCTGGGGGCAGGGACGTAGGGAACTAGGCGGGTGGGGAGGGAGGAAGGAGCGACGAGGTCAGAGGAAACCTTGGGTTTCCAAGGCTCCTAGGGCACCAAAGGGCTTCCCGCAGTCGGGGAATTGAGCCCTGGGGAGGAGCCTTTTGCGAGAACGTGAGCGCGCCCCAACACGCCTCAGACCTCGTAAACCCACTTGGCAAAGACCGGGGAAGCGGCTGGCGCACCGACTGCGGTGAACTCAAGAAATTAACCTGTGCTGCAATTAAACGGGCTGCCGCCCTTTCACACTCACCTCGAGCGACCGAGATAGAGAGAGCTCCCGAACCGGCCGCGGGGGGACCTGGCTCCACCCTCCCGTCCCAGGAGAAGAGGACAAAAAGGGGAGATGGACTTGGAGGTGGCCCCGCCCTTCACAACGCTCCAATCCTTGGAAACCAAACCTCCTCTCCAAGCCTCCACGTCTAGAAGGGACAAAGACAGCGAGGAGATCCAGAGACCAACGGGGGAGATGGTGGCTTTCAGGCTTCTGGTGTGGGTGCGTGGGGGAAAGGTACAATGGTTAAGTTTCCATCCCAAATACGGCACCACACGATGGTCTTTAGAAGACACACTCGGTCTTTGGTTTAGAAGCAAATTGACTTCCTGAAGCTGTGAAGCGAACTATCGCAAAACTCTCTTGCTTTTTGAATGTGGGGGCGATACGAATTCAATTAATGATGCCACACACATCATCTTTTCGACTTTTTAGAAGTCACAAACGCTTTAACTCCCCAATGAAAATAATTGAAAGAGGTTAAACATAAAGGGAATGGGCTTTTCTTTTTTCTTGTTTTTATTTGGGGCAATTTTTCAAATGATTTTTAAAAACTGTATAAAAGCTGGGTCAGTCAAGGAAAACGCTGTGGCCGAAGGTTTTCGTGAAAACCTTAGTAAACTTGGCATTTAAGTAACTGTAATTACGCGTTGCCATTAGCAGACCATTAAGATAAACAGGAGAAAGTTCACACCTCCTGCTATTTCGTTCCCTAAGAATATTCACAAAGATAATACCAGGCTAGTTGGTGGGTTATCGTCTCCATTAGGAGGGTTAATGTTTAAATTTGTTAATTAAAATACAAAAAATTTGGTTTCCTACAGAGCCAACAATGTGAGGGAAGTCTCATGGGGACATCCTGACTCCTTGAAATTTACCTTTTGTTACTTTATCCTGTGGCATTATCCCCTGGAGTCATATGGGGTTTCAAGACTATTAATGTTGCAGGGAATGTGAATATGTTAGAAGTCTGGACTTTCTTCTCCCTTATCATGGGTGACTGGCATACACACTCCTCATAAAGAGAAATTATGGCTCATCAAAAGAGTGACTTTATGAGCATTAATAGAATAATAAATCTTGCACTTTTAGTTCAAGAAACAGTGAAGTCTCATAATCAGAATGACCAATGCAAATATGATCCATTCACTTGCCCAACTCTCAACAGGATAGGGATAGTCTATAGATCATTTTAGTTTTTAAAACCTCAAAAAAGGAAGGCACCCAAATCTCTCAAAGGAAAGTGTTTATGGGGGGAAAGGGACTTCTAGCAAACCTGCAGGAAGAGATCTTGGAAAAACGAACAGTCGGTCCAGAAGCTGAACCTAAGCAAGAATGGATAGATGTTCTAATGTCGTTGTTTCAATATTTATGTTCTATCATTTAAAAAGAGAAAAGTCTTCCTGTTTCCTGAAAGCTATAAAAAAAAGAAAAATCCAGTTGATAGCCCCATTTTCTAAATTCCAGCTGGAAAACTGTTCGAGTTGATGATTTTAGCAAAAGGAAGAGTAGGTGAATACAATGTGGCTTTTTAACCACATTTTACACATCTCTTAACTTGGTGGTATTTCCCTATGTAAAACTTCCTTTCTATGCAATGCAATGTAATCTTTTTACTAATTGAGTTTGTGATTTTTTAATGAGTTATCTATTTTGAGATCTTTACTCTTGTTGGAAATTGCTCAGTCTTCAAAAGAGTTTTCTCAAAACTTCAGACTGGATAATTGTGGACGCTCCATCAAAAAAGTGAAGTCACTAGCACACCTTCTTTCTAATCTCTTCCAGAAAAATCAATATATTGTCATAAACCCATATTTAAACATATATAACTAGGTAACTAGTGTCCATGCCTAGGGAAAAGTGACTAACAGAAGACAAAGGGGGATGATTCATGATTCTGAACAGCTCTCAAAGGAAGAGACATTGCAATAACTTATATTAAACTTACTCCATATGAATCTTTGTATATATGCCTTTGGATATCAAAGATATTTCGATAGTGATATTCTAAAATTCAAAAGAAAGTCTTTCTTCCATAGGTAGTAGTTAAATTTACAGTTCTATCAAACTAGTTATTGTAATATGTAATGTGTAATTTCATTCGATCATTGAGTGTTTAGCATCTGTATTATGCCATTCTCAGAACTGAGTACTAGGGATACAAAGATGAATAACTGAAATGAGTCAAATTTTTGATGCATGATCTACTTCATGAACCACTAGCTTCAAGATCACATTACTTGGAAATAAAACTTCAGATTTTTTACTCAAAAGCAATACCAGGATTTGGCCTATGATGAAAGTATAATTAATTTGAATATTTCTGTTCTCACAATGAAGTTATTAAGGAGTAATATTTTGTGAAAATTTTTGGAGTTCATTGTAAAGCCAATGTGTTGGCTTAATTCACAATTTAACATGAAATTCTTCCTCAAAGAGATGTTTTATTTTATTTTATTTGATGGAGTCTCACTCTGTCGCCCAAGCTGGAGTTCAGTGGTGCTGTCTCGGCTCAATGTAACCTCCACCTCCCAGGTTAAAGGATTCTTCTGCCTCAGCCTCCCACGTAGCTGGGACTATAGGCGTGCACCACCACACCCAGCTAATGTTTCCATTTTTAGTAGAGACGGGGTTTCACTATGTTGGCCAAGCTAGTCCCAAACTCCCAACCTCAAGTGATCTGTCCATATCAGCCTCCCAAAGTGCTAGGATTACAGATGTGAGCCACTCAGCCTAGTCAACTTCTTAAAAAGGCAAAATAACAACCTTAGATCAACTAGGGTTAGATTAACCAAATTCTGAAGACAAGACTCAAGAGAAAGATTGCCCATTTGTTGAAGCATCGCTTCCAGCAGAAAGACTAGCATTTCCAGGTTCTTACTATTTGTTCTCTATCTGAAGCTTAGAGAAAGGAAGTGACTTATTCAGGAACACAGAGCTGGTAAGGAGCAGTCAGCCCTAGAATCAACACTTCAATGGTAGTTTCTCCAAAGTTATCGTTCTCATATCACATTCAAGATTTCTTCTTATTCTTTTCCTTTTTTGTGGGGGGGGAGGGGATATATTTTCATGTAACTTGGTCCTGTTATTTAATTAATATACGTTTTTAAATGTCAACTTAATTTTTTTAACTTCATCATAAGCAATAATATTCACAAATCACAGGTCTGATGGGCCATTTATACATTTTCAATGCATATCAAAATACATATACTATTATCAAAATTGAAAGATTTTTGGATTAAAAAATGTCTGATAGTATACTTGCTAAACGGTATGCTAATGGTAAGGAGTGAGAGAGATGGGGAGGAAAGTGTTACAATTTGTGTGTGTGTGTGTGTGTGTGTGTAAAAACATGAATCACTTTTGTAATTTAAAACATTTTTAAGAAAAAAATTATGTGGCATAGTAGTGGCTAGCATATCTCCAAATTAAGTCATCTCTTTGTATATTCTTACTAGGAAGTAAAAATTAGCACAAATCTTTTTTAGAGCAATTTAACAATATACGTTTAAAGTCTTAAAATGTTCACACTTTTGTGCCCTTAATTTCTATGCTTAGAATCTACCCTAAACAGAAATGAAAAAAATACATACATATAAAAGAAATGCTAAAGTAATCAAATATAAGTGATTAAGATAAGAGGAATAGTTAGGTAGATAATAATCTATTCCCATTATGACATATTAAGTAGCTTTATTGTTTGAGAATTTGTGCTTAAATAGAAAAATGGTCCAATATTAGGTAAAAGACCTGGATACAAAATTATGATCATGAATTACTTTTTTTCAAATTGTATACCCCAAAAATCACCTTGAATGGAAATATACCAGCATGTCAACAGTAAATTGACTTCTCATTATAAAAAATTTAGAAAATTTAGAATGTATACATAAGCTATATAAGTTATATAATGATGCATATGTATATATATATAAGCTATGGAGTCAGCTGCTTTGTTTGGACTGAATTATCAATTATCTTTTTAAGTATTTAAAAACATTTTAAAGTTAAGTGATAGAACCTACTTTTTATATGTCTGGTAATTGTAAATGTGTCTCAAGGAACATATTAATACTGCTAATGAAATAGTGGTACAGTAACCTTTTCACAGATATTTTTCCCTTCACAGATAATGTAGGAAGAAAGTTTGAGTGGGCATTAAGTATATTTTATATAGAAAAGAAAATTTAGGACCAAAGAGATTGAATGATTTAACCTAAGGTCATCCAATGCTGATGGTGTAAAGACTAAAATCCAGGTCTCCTAATTCTTACTGTTATATTTTGAAATCTGTCATTCCACTACAGTTCAAAAATATTACCAAATATTAGCAAAAGAAAATTACTAATGGCCAATATGAAAAAAGTTCAACGTAGCATTTACATTGTATTAATTATTGTAAGTAATCTAGATTTAAAGTATATCAGAAAAGGTATATAGATTATATGCAAATATTATGCCATATTGTATAAGAGACTTGAGCATCCATAGGGGTCCTGGAACTGATATCCTTTGGATACCAAGGGATGACTGCATACTGAATGTTTGTGAGAGTGTGTGTGTGTGTGCATTTCCCAGTTGTTAAGAGCGTATATAATTCCCAGTTGTTGAGAATATGAAAAAATAGACCCTATAATTCTCTATTGGTGAGAATGGAACTATGAAAAGTTTTATTCTTTCCGGATATACTAAAAGTCTTTTATCCAGGAATTTAACTTTTGGAAATTGATTTAAAGAAATGTTCATGACTGTCATCAAAATTTTATGTATAAGGAGATTCACTGTAGCATCAATACCTAACAGCAAGTGATCAAAGAAATTATATTCATTTATGTGGTAGAAAGTTGTATAGCTATCAAATTCTGTAGGAAATGTCAAATGACACTGAAATATTTACATGATTTTTTGATAACCAAAAAAACAGATTTCAAAACAATGTACATAGTATTATCCCATATTTGTGTGTGTGTGGGGGGGGTGTGTAGCTAGGCATTGAAAAATAATCAGACAAGTATAATCAAAATGTTAATAGTAGTTTTTCCCAGGTAATGTCATTTTTTTCTAGCAATGTAATTATGTGTACATTATATATTTTTTTCACTCTGGCTTTTCAGATTTTTAAGCTTTTTTACAATGAATATATCGCCTTTGCAATTAGGAAAAGTGTAGAGCTTGCAAATAAATTTTGCCAGCCCAAAATTTCTTCCATATCATGAGACTGGCCAAATCAAATGTTTTTCTAATTTATAATATTAATTCTGAGGTTTTTTAAATCATTATTTAAACACACACACACACCCCTTGAAATTCTTGGTGACATATCCATTTGATTTCCCAAACAGCCTTGACTCAGGGTTCAGGGCATCCAGTATGCAGTATGCTAGCACAAAGTTGACTTTGCATCTGCAAACTACTAGCCCGTGACTGATCCCTTGTAGATTTCATGTTATTTGCCCTTTCACCATAACATGAAATCTACACATAACTCTCTTGTGCACTAGGGTGTGGTTTGAAATCTCAGCACATTACTAATAACAGTGTTTCACAAAAGTTACTCATTGGTTATGTTTTTTTAAGTATCTAGAAGGCAGAACAGGTTTATTTTTAGTAACTTTCTGATGTTTATTCTGAAAATTTGCTCATTCCAAACAACAGGTTTTATGTGAACATTTATTGACTTAATGTTTAGAACAAAGATGAAACCAAATCTAGCACTGAACACCTCCTCACTGGTTTCCACCTCCTGCTTTTGCTAGTGATGACCTTGGACAAGTGTCTTAATGACTGCATGCATCAGTTTCCACATCTGTAAAAGAGAAATAAATACTGATAGGATGCGATGAAGATTGAATAACATGTATATAAAGTATATGGGAGTCTGTATCTGTAAGCTGATATGCTCTAAATCCTTAAACCTTTACTGTGAGGCAGCATAGATGAAGCAAGAGCTCTAATTTTGGAATCAAGAGAGGTGTCTAGTCTAGAAAATCAAAACTATAATATGTGCCCATGATTTTAGAAAAACAAGCCATTACTATTTAAATAAATAAGGCAACAACAATAATTTAATAATTTAAAAACCTAAACATAATGAATGGTATCTAAATTCTGCTATTGCTGTTGATTTGCTGCTTATTAATTCATTTTGTCTTTTGCAAGAACTAATCAACCAGTTATGTGAGAGTAGAGCAAAAGCTATTATTTTTAAGTGTAAGAAAAATCTAAAATCAAGGAAGCTTTGTTAGCTGATATCTCAAATACAAGAAACAGGTAAGTATGCTTAGAAAAATCAGTATTTTGTAGGAATTGTTATAATAAATATAAATAAATAAACTACAGCAAATAGGAAACATTTTATTTCACTTCATTTTTTTCTGTTAATTGCACAGACCACCACTGTTCCTTGGTCTAGCTTCTAGTCAGCAGCATTCTACTGGAGTACAATTGGAAAACCACTGATCTATTCCAGATGAGAAAATCGTCTCAAGGAAAAGTGATTTGCCCAGGGTTACATACCAAGTTATTGAAGAAACTAAGATCCAGACTTACTCAATCCCTCTTCATGACTATTTCCATTACATCCAATTTGCCTATCTTAGCAAAAGAGATTTCCTTGAGCTGGTATTGAAGCAAAAGCTCAGTTATCTTCTTTCCTTCCTTTCTCACTCCTTCTTTAACTTTCTCCCTCTGTCCCTCTCTGGCTTTTTCCTCCTTCCTTTCTTAACTTCCTTCCTAAGGTTTCTCAAAAATGAAAACCTGTACTTTATGCGACCAATGATAATTAACTGCTTAGTCAGTCAATAAATAATTTTTATGTTTTCTCTAAATTATTTTGATGACTTTCAGTTCATTTCATTTTCTTTTCTAACATCAGAAGATTAGTGGAATAGCTAATTGTGTTCTCTATATATCAATATCTTCTGTTCTTTGGAAGTATTTGGAGTTATCCTCTACCTTTTTTTTCATTTTTCATTCTAAAATGATTTTCATAGGCTTAGGATCAGGAAATAAAAAAGACAAAAGAAGCATATGATTTTTCACCTGGAAAAATATAATTCTTTTATTTCACATGTAAATATAAATGGAAAATTTGGCACTATTCTGCATTATCAGGGATCATATTAAATAAAAAATGTTTCTTCTGGTCCTTTTGCATTTACTTTCTAACATGGAACACTCACAAAGGAATTATTTCTATTATTCAAAAAGAAGGACAGTTAATGTTTTCATTTACCATATGATGGAACACAGAATTTGAAAATAGTTGGGACTTTCTGAATGTTATAGACAAGAGATTATAGGATCATGTGGTAATCAAATTAACTTTGCGCATACTAGAATTGAATGGTGAAGCAACTGACATGGAGAAAGAACAGCAATAGTGATCTTTATTACAGTTTCCCTTGACTATAGCCTGTAGCTAGCATCTGTCCCATTCACTTAGGAGATGGCAAAATGCAAGACAGCCCCAGCTAACTGTCACCTGAACAACTCAGGAATAT